TTAACACATACTAACATCTCTTCCTCCCCTTCAGAAGAGACAGTTATGCTCCCTCCACTATCTATGGCAGATGATTTTAAGCTCTTCCAAGACCTTACGAAGAGGGTGGCAGATACCTTACTAATACTTCTAGAGGAGATAATAGAGACTCACCATAAGCTGCTGGATATTTTATGTACATCCTCCTCCTTGAGGATAGCTTTTGGACCCAGCTAAGCTCATATGGCAACCACCGGCATTGGCCACACCAATAGGCAAAAGGGCCGATTTAAAAAGTACTATGTACACCTCCCTCCCCACAGATACGGAATTTTTTTCCCCCACCCTCCCTCTAATTCCATCGTGATATAAGCAGTTAACTCCTGTGGCCACCAACATCGTTCCAGATCCACCCCTTATGATAGGGATTGGAAGTGCCTTGACTTATTTGGAAGGAAGGCCTACTCTTCTGCTACTTTGCAATTCAGAATTGCAAACTACTAGGCCTTAAGGGCAAAGCACGACTATAGGAACTATGCCAAATTCAGCATCTTTACTGATCATCTACCGGAGTCACAACGGAAACAATTCTGAGCCATTATCGATGAGGGGCAGTTAGTGGCCAAAACACCACTGCAGACAGCACTTGATGCGGCTGATACAGTGGCCGGTTCCATCTCAACGGCAGTTGTGTTGCGGTGAGCTTCGTGGTTGCATCTTTTGGGTTTCCCAAAGGAGATTCAGATATCTGTCGAAGACCTCCCCTTTGAAGGCTCTAAGTTGTTTCCTGAGAAGACCAATGCATCGCTCCACACGCTTAAGGACTCCAGAGCCACACTTTGGTCAGTGGGGATCAAGACGCCCGGACAAAAAAAAAGAATGTAGCCCTCAGTCTTCTCACAAACTGCATACTCTGCAATTCCCCCCACAACTCTATTATGAGCCACAGAGGGAAAAGGTCCACGTTTCTGAGGTGCAAACCATCAGGACCTCAATTCTCAACATTGCAATCTTCCACCTCAAAACATCAGTTTTGACACCTTGGTCGAGGCCCTGAGAGACCACTGCCTTTGACAACAGCTGCCACTTTCCAACCTCTCTCATCCTTTTGGTTATGGCCTTGCTCTGTTCAGTCCCAACTGGGAATCCATCCAACAGATGGGTTTTGGAAATTATCTCCCATGTGTATTCAATCCTCTTCAGGGACCCTTCTCACGAGAGACTGTTACGACTGGATTAACTCCTCTGCCTAGAAGCCATAGAACCTGTCCCACTGCATCTCTGAGGCAAAAGTTTTTACTCTTGATATTTCCTGATCCCCAAGAAAACTGGAGCTTGGAGACCTTTACTGGATCTCAGAGCACGGAACAAATATATCAAGGCTCAAAAAGTCAAGATGTGTCACACTAGTGGCGATTATTCCATCTTTGGAACAGGGAGATTTGTTCTCGGCCCTCAAGTACATATTTCCCCATATTGATCCTGCCATCCCACAGACAATTCCTCCGATTTACTCTGGGTCAGGATCAGTATCAGCATGGAGTACTCCCTTTTGGCCTCTTGTTGGCTCCCAGAGTATTCTCCAAGGTCCTCTCCATCGTGGCAGCCCACCTGCATACCCAGGGGATCATGATCTACCCATGCTTAGACAACTGTCTCCTCAGGCCTGCTCCTTTGAAGAAGCCCTACGGGCCACCCACAGAACTATGGACATATTCACAAAACCGGGCGTACAAGTCAACATCCAAAAATTGACCCTAATTCCAGTACAATGCTTGGAATTTATAGGGGGCGATCTCGACTCACTGGAAACGAGAGCGCTCCTTCCACAGCACAGATTTCCCAGCCTGTCCGCACTTATAGAGATAGTGCAAACTAGCCCTCAGACATCGGCCAGACATTGCCTCCAGCTTCTGGGGCACGTGGTGGCGGGCATGTTTGTAATATCTCCTGCCAGACTTCACATGAGGTGCCTGCAGATGTGGTTCAGCTCAGTTTACAGGCCAAAAAAAGGCAGGTTAGACAAACCTCTCTCAATGCCTTTCTGGGTCAAACGCTCCCTGGATTGGTGGAAAGACTCAACAACTGTTTGCACAGGGGTCCCACTCACACAGTCCCCCCCCCCCCAACACTACTACTCACTACGTAAGCATCCCTGATAGATTGGGTTGCACATTTCAACAACCTCATGACTTGGGGAAAATGGTCGCCCATGGAGGCAACTCTCCCATCAACCTCCTCGAACTCAGAGCAGTCAGGAACACTTATGTTCACTTTTTCTTCCACTGATCAGAGGTACACACAGGAAAGTCATGATGGACAACATCGTGTGCATGTACTATATAAATTGCCAGGGAGGCACCAGATTGTCCTCCTCTGCGCAGAAGTGCTAAAGCTCTGGAACTGGTGCATTTCCCATAATGTTCTTTTGTCAGTGGCCTGTCTATCGGGAGTGCAGAATACAACAGCAGAAAGTCTTAGTCGCAAGTTCTCATGTAACCACGAGTGGGAAATGAACCCAGTAGTACTTCACAGCATATTCAGTCAATAGGGGACACTGACGAGATACTTGTTCGCCACTTACCGGAACAAGAAATGCCCATGCCGCTGCTCCAGGGCTGGCCTTGGACACTCTCTTCTTCTTCCAAGGGACGAGGGCCTTCTATACGCCTTCCTCTCATTCCTTCTGCTGCTGAAGATCCTGTCACAAATAAAAAGAGAAGAAGCAAACGTCATACTGATTGCTTCCAACTGGCCAAGACTGATGTGATACCCATCGCTGTCACAGCTGCCGGCGTGTCCACCAATCCCTCTTCAACCCACTCCTTACCGCCTCTTGCAGAATGAAGGATGCGCTCTCCATACCAACCTGCGGATACTCCAGCTAAAGGCCTGGCTCCTTCATGGTTCCAATACATAGAGAGCTTCTGCTCTGAGGTACAGAAAGTGTTACTATACAGTAAGAAATTGACTGCCAGTCGTACTTACCTGAAAAAGTGGACCAGTCTCAAGTTTGGTGCAATTCCAGGCAGATTATCCTGGCATCTGTTACTCTCCCTGTGGTTTTAACCCTGACATCTTGAGTATGTAGTCTATCTCTCAGTTCGCTCGAAGTGTGCCTGGCAGCCACAGTGGTTTTCCATCAACCAATAGAGGGATACTCAGTTTTCTCACACCCAGCTACAAAGAGATACCTCCAGGGCATAGCAAACCTCTTTTCCCCAACCCAGACATCCCATCTCAACATGGGACCTGAACTTAGTTTTAAAGAGCCTAACTAGACCACCCGTTGAACCTGTGGCCACTTGTTCGCTTACACACTTGTCAATGAAGACAGCATTTCTGATCACAATCACCTCGGTGAGGAGAAATGGGGAGATAGCAGCACTGATGGCGCGCCCCCCTTTTACAGTCTTTTTTTCACAACAGGGCTACTCTCAGGCTGCACCCAAAGTTCATACCCAAGGCGACCTCATCTTTTCATATGAACCAACCGATTCACCTCCCAACCTTTTATCCTAAGCCTCGCTGCAATAACGGAGAGGCCATACTTCACACTCTAGATGTTAGGAGAGCCCTGGCCTTCTACCTGTACAGGATGAATGCTTTTAGGAAATCTCCTAAGCTCTTCCTTTCCATTCCAAATAGGTCTAAAGGCGCAGCATTATCGTCCCAAAGACTCTCCAAATGGGTCTCGAACTGTATCAAACACTACTATGAGGTTTGCAGTGTAGTACCTCCATCTTTAATCCGCACACACTTCACGAGGTCGGTTTCCTCCTCGGTCGCCTTCCTCAAAAATGTCCCTATCTCGGAAATCTGCAGAGCAGCCACCTGGGCATCCGTGCATACCACTGCAGAACACTACATGGTTACTGGGAACTCTGCTTCCAATGCTAACTTCAGCTACGCAGTGTTATCATCCATAACAGACTTGATTCCAAAGCCCCAACCTCCCATCTGGGATACTGCTTGGGAGTCACCTACAGTGGAGCACTTCTTGGGACACTACTTGAAGAAGAAAAGGAAGTTATTCACACTGTGCAGTAATGATGGTTCTTCAAGATGTGTGTCCCTATAGGTGCTCCACAACCCACCCTCCTCCCCTCTACTTTTGGAGTTCTCAACAGAGGCTTTGTGATAGAGAAGGAACTGAGGGTGGTTCACCCGTTCAACGCTAATTAGCCTCGAGGCTAATTTTTCACTAGGAGGGTGGTGAAGCACTGGAATGGGTTACCTAGGGAGGTGGTGGAATCTCCTTCCTTAGAGGTTTTTAAGGTCAGGCTTGACAAAGCCCTGGCTGGGATGATTTAGTTAGGAATTGGTCCTGCTTTGAGCAGGGGGTTGGACTAGATGACCTCCTGAGATCCCTTCCAACCCTGATATTCTATGATTCTATAAGGCAGAGCACGGGGTGGGGGAGTGTATGTGTGGGCCGAACGGACATTGCTACACAAATCTCTGATCAGAAGCGCAGGGACACACACCTATAGTGGAGCACCCATAGGGGGACACATCTTGAAGAACCATCGTTACTGCACAAGATGAGTAACTTCCTCTTATGCCCACCCTATACCAACTAGGGTTGCCTGGTGTCTGGTTTTCACCTGGAACACCCGTTTGAAAAGGGACCCTGGCGGCTCCGGTCAGCACTGCTGACCGGGCTGTTTAAAAGTCCGCTCGGCAGCGCAGCAGGGCTAAGGCAGTCTCCCTGCGGCTCCCAGAAGCAGCAGCATATCCCCCCCTCTGGCTCCTAGGCGCCACCCCTGCTCACTCCATCTCCCCTCCCTCTGTCACTTGCTCTTCCCACCCTCACTCGCTCATTTTCACCGGGCTGGCTCAGGGGGTTGGAGTGCAGGAGGGGGTGTGGGCTCCAGCAGGGGGTGCGGCCAGAAATGAGGAGTTCAGGGTGTGGGGGGGGCTCTGGGTTGAGGTCTAAAGAGAAGACGTACCCTTAGATGAGAATTTGGTTAAAATATGTTTCATATTAAAGTTTCATTTGGTCTCTCTTACTTTCCTAGTATAATCACTTACCTGAGGGCCCTATCCCGCCAACAACACCCAAATATGCATATGGGCGAGTGACAATGGAGAAGGTAAATGTTCATTTGTTACCCTGTAGGTCTATCTGTGCTTGTATACTTGTTTCTTTGTAAGGAATGTTTTTATAAAGTTGGAATGTCCATCTACAGGCACTATATAAAGGAGCAGAGAGGAGAGAATAGAAACTCAGAGATAAAAGGCTTCTTAACCCTCTTGAGGAGAGACAGATATAGGGCATGGGACTAGGTGACAGGAGTTCTGACTTCTCTTCCTGGCTCAGCCATTTTCTTGCTGTCTGACTTTGAGTAAATCAGTTAACCTCTACCTCAGTTTCCCCTTCTGTAAAATGGGAGGATGATAATTTTGTTAACCTCTTTGAGATCTGCAGATGAAAAGCACTATGGAAGTGCTAAGCCATAGGACTAACACTGCTTTGCCAAAATTAGCTGTGTAAAATGGGGTTTATTCAGTTTGACAAGCATTTTGACTCTGGTCTCAAAATTACCTCCACCAATTACTAACGTTTACCTTACCCTATTACACCAAAAGGAAATATGTCAGTGTACATGACTTGTAAATAAAATGCAATGTTTATAACATACACTGTGCTATGTGTTAAATCTCACTAAAATGAGTGATATTTGTATAGCTCTAGTTATCCAGCCTTTGGATAACTCAAAGTTTGGGTAAGCCCTTGGGGTTTATTTCACAGCCTGCTGAAGAGAAAAGTTTAATGAGAGGCTGCTTTAACTGCTGGTGGATTGAAAGGAAAGAGAAGGACGGGAAGAGAGGAGGTGCTGTGTTTTGCAAATAAATACTCTATATGCTATAAAGGACGTTTTTGTTTGTTTGGAGGAGTTGGTAAGTTGGATGTAGTATAATTCATAAGTTTTGGATGGTGTTCTGTAATTCTTTAGTTTTGGGCAGACAGCATTTTTGATTGATAAGCCTGACCCATTTTGCTATGGCATATGAAGTGTTGCAACATTCAGTACTGATAACAGATAATACAGCACAGCCTGTCTTAAGTCATCCAGCTCAAGTGGTCTACAGAAGTGAAATTTCTCACAGAAATGACTATCCAGTCAAGGTGAAGCAGAACTGCCCCCTCTGTCTAAGCATACTTTTGGGTGGTCCGAGAGGCTGCCTTATAAGGTTTCTCTGAGCTAGTATATATTCGATAGTGAGTAAAATTACACATAGCTATGTGTACATCCTGGGCGGGCTGGAGCAGCCCCAGCCCCAGCCTCGCTGGCCGGAGCAGCCCCGTGGCCTGCTGGCTGGCCAACGCCAGCCCGTCCGGTGGGAGCAGCGGCCGCACCGGTGGACCAGCGACCCCAGGCCACACTGACCCCAGCAGCGGCCCCGGGCCGCACCCGCTGATTGCAGGAGCAGTCCCAGCCCTGTGCTCTGTTAAACAATATAATTTTAATCGTTTAACCGGTTAACTTTTTAAACGATATTTACATCCCTAACATCCACAGCTTCTGGTGACATAAATGGGAGGTGCAGATCCATGGCATCTCTGAGAATCAGGCCACAGGATTTTTAATTGGCCAGTTACTCCACATGCTGTATCCATATACTGTATATTAGCCGAGATTGCCTGAGGGATCATCTCTCTGCTTGATTATGATCTCCAACAACAGCTACTTGCCACTGGAACGATGAACTGTCAACCTCAAGAATCAAACTTGTGTGCAGAAGACCTAGCTTTCTAGGTGACTAATACATTAATCTGGATTTCTTGCACAAAGAGGTTGGCATGGACCATGAACCTCAGCACGGTCAAAGCAAAATACAAAACCCACTACTTTGACCTGGCCGTACCACAATAAGCCATGTTCCTCCCACTTCTCTCCTCCTCCAAAAGAGTCCACTCCCTGCTTGCTGGAGGGAAGAGAAATAACCTTCCTTTGTGTACACTGGATAATTTTGGGAAGCACTCCATTACCATGGTCATGTGCATGCCATAGAACTGGTAAATTTTAAAAGATTATTGCATGAATAGCCCACTTATATCCAGACTACTGTCTTTTGAGTAGTCACTCTATTTTTATGTACAAAATCAATGATTGCATGTGAATAGATGATTCATGTTATCCTATAAGCACGTGTAGAAACGATTGCATACATCATGTTGATGTTTGTTTTTAATGTTGCAGCACTTCTCATTTTTGAATGTGCCTGTCCAAAAGCTTGCTCTTTTGTTATTTTGAAACACCCAGCATTTCATTGTTTTCTTTTTACTGTGAATGTGTATAAAATATATATCGAATTCTACAGCATTTTAAGTGCCACTTTTTGTAGTGGCTTTTCTGCAACATTACTTGAAAGCAAATACTGACTTTGGAAAATATTTGGAATCACCAATGTACAATTTACGCTGGGCCCGTGGAGACACTTATGTAAAATAGACTAAAATTCTGATGCTCTTATTTAAAAAACACCCAAACACTTGAACCTTTGAGCCCAGAGAGGATATTATGCATATTGTGTGCATCCTGACTAATAAATAGAATCCACATCAAATGTTGAGAGAGAAACATAGTCTGAAAGAGAGCTTTTATCATCTCAAAAAGAGATCAGAGGGCATCATAGGTATGTTAACCTGCAGTATATTTGTGCCTGTTGGACCGATTCAGAAAAGGGACTTAAGCACATGTTTAACTTTAAGCTTGTGCATTGTCTTACTAAAGTCTGTGGACTGATTACATGCTTAAATTTCAACTTGTGCCTAAACATCTTGCTGGATTGGGGCCTTACTGCTTCAAAAATAAATGTGGGTTCAGTTATTTTAAAAGTCCTCTTAGATGATATTTGACAGAGCCAAATTCTGCTCCGAGCTACTCAGATAATAAATTTGGAGTAATTCATTGGAAGTCAGTAGTTACATCAGATTTACACCAGAGTAACTGAGAGCAGAATTTGGACCATATTGTTGTCTTGTCTTATTTAGCTACTAATTAAACATTGAATTTTATGACCAGTCTAAATCTGCTTTTTCTGCATTGCAGCTAGGCACAGTAGCAGAGCTTCTTAATGACCTGTCACCCTCTGGGCCAATAAGAAGCACTTACCCCTTAACCTTTGTTCAGCTGCAGCAGGTAAGACTTTCTCATGTAACTACTAAGTGATCATTTTCCAAATCTTACATGAAATTCAGCCTTGATATCACTGCATTGGGGTGAAAGGTCTTAAACCATGTCTGAACTCGGTCCTTTAAATCTTGCAGTGTTGTACTTCTTACAGTAGTTGTTCCCAGGTTCCTTGGGTTGGAGTCCCCTCCCCATTTGTGACGCCATTCGTTCCTGCGGCCACCATATTTTTGGCATCACTGCTGAATCTCACCCGGGGTTTTTTGGCTCATTTTCTCTCTCCCTTTTTATGTATTTTTGTTATCTCTGCTTTCCACTTTTTATTCATCCTCACTATCTTCCTCCATTTCTCTTGCTCTTTCTCCCCCTTTATAGTCTCTCTGTGAAGCACTAGGTTTCAAAGATCCCTTCCACCTTGTTCCTCCCTGTTTTCCAGATTTTCCCTACTCTTTTTCCTTGGTCTGTCTGTTCTTTCTTTCTCTCTGGTATATAGTTGGTGATGTGTCAAAACATCTGCCAGGGACAATTCTCTTGATAAACAGGGCAGGGGATCTGTGGGGATGGGGGTGGGGGGTCACAAGGTTGATGTTTTGTGGGGATCTTGTTTATTTTTACTTCCTTTCCTCTTCAGAATGTAGGTAGAAGAAGGTAGAGAGTAGTCACCCAGAACTCATCAGAGTGCACACATCCCATCCACCAAGGGGCCTCTACACCACTGGCTGATTTAGAAAAATACCCCTTGAAAAAGCATCTTGCTCCCATCTTCCTCTTCTTGCCGTGGCTTCCTCCTCCTCCTCTCCCCACATCTTTTGCCCCTTCTCCCGACTTCTTTTCTGTTCCCCTCCTGGCTGCTCAGTGGCCCCACCTTTCCACTGCATGCATCTGGCTCCCAGATCACCCCCGCTGCTGAGCTAAGTACAGATTAGGAGCCAGTTGCCTGCAGCTGAAAGAAGCAACCACTAGGAAACGTGTGGTGGGCGGGACTGCTGAGCAGCTACCTGCCCCGTAGTCCCAGGACACTGGATGGGATGGGTTCAAAACCCAATTCTGAACGTTAGCTGGGCTGGGTTCAAAACCCAGATCTGCCCTGGCCAAAGCAGAACTACCGGCCGGTAAGCTGGATGGCTTTCCTTCTCTGCCTCTACTTGCACATACCAGAAGGATCCAGCCGGGGGAGAGAGGCTCAGGAGCTGTCCTGCTACTTGTGTGCTTCTGTGGGAGCAGAGAGCAGGCACTCTAGTCAGCTGCTGAAAGACCCTATGGGGGGAGGGATAGCTCAGTGGTTTGAGCATTGGCCTGCTAAACCCAGGGTTGTGAGTTCAATCCTTGAGGGGGCCACTTGGGGATCTGGGGCAAAATCAGTACTTTGTCCTGCTAGTGAAGGCAGGGGGCTGGACTCGATGACCTTTCAAGGTCCCTTCCAGTTCTAGGAGATGGGATACCTCCATTAAAAAAAAAAAAAAACTAGGCAGGCGGTTTAAAAGGAGGCCCTGACCACTCAGCCCCCTGGTTTCAGCATCCCTGCTCATCGGGTCATGTTTCAAGCAGCTCACCCTCTATGCATTGCTCCTCTTCTCCACACTCTGCTGGTCTTTGCAGCTGTTACACCCTGTCACCTGCCTTGGTCTCATGGGGACCTCAGAGATGTCAGGAGAAGGGGCGGCCCATAATGGTCACAGCCTCCCTCTGTTTTGTTTTTTCCTACCATCTGTGCTGCTGGTTGAATGCATTCGTGGTCACATGTGACTGGCTGGAAGTAGGGTGACCAGATAGCAAGTGTGAAAAATCGGTTCGGGGGTGATGGGTAATAGGCACCTATATAAGAAAAAGCCCCAAATGTCGGGACTCTCCCTATAAAATCAGGACATCTGGTCACCCTAGCTGGAACTGCCGTGCTCCCACCTCTTCTTGCCCCAGAGGCTGGGAACCAAGTTAAAATCCAATTCATGTCAGACTGTGGTGTTATGTTAATGTTACTGGGGAAAAACAGAATGGTTTCAATGTGTTTGTTTCATTTGTTACAGGAACAAATCCAGCAGCTCTGATCTTACTGTCTCCTGATGGCAATATTTCACATGAAAATATTCCTAATTGTTCCAGTAACATAGCAGCTGGTTCTCCTATACAGGCAGTACTGGCATCAGTTTTTGGTTGTAGAGTGCAGTCTTTTAGCTTGTTACCTAAGCTTCAGTTGCTACGTTTTTTCCGGTTGTCAGTAGTTCACTAAAAATGGATAAAAATCAGTGGATTCAGTTCATGACCCTTTAATCTTGTTGAGGTGCAGAGGAGGAGAAGTCTTAACTGAGACCTTTATCTTTAAGGTTATGTAAATATGTGTAGGAAACTTTATGAAATTTACATTGAGTATTAAAGATGGAAATCACTTGGCAAGATTTTAACCAGGATATATGAAATCATTTGTGATTATCGCTCCAGACAGGGTATGAAAGTTGAAATTACTCTTCTAATGTGTAGGCAGAAATTCTGGTTACTGGTTTCCATTGTGTGGCCTCAAGTGTAGCTTCAGAATAACTTGGTTCTCTAATTGTTTTCTTCTAGTATTTTGGGTTTGTGCTGTACAGGACTACCCTGCCAAAAAATTGTAGTGAGCCAACACCACTCTTTTCGCCTTTAAACGGAGTCCACGACCGTGCCTATGTCTCTGTAGATGGGGTAAATATTGACCTTACAACTACTGATATCCATGTCTGTCACTTGCCTTCTTTGGGTAGCTATGATTAATAATTGTATTGTGTACTTTGTGGCTTTTTTCCCCCATGTACACAGATACAGTTTAGTTTATTTAATTTAATATGAAACGTAAAGAGAAAGAAAGGGATCATACAGCTGGTACATTCTACACTTTACTAAAGCTTTTGAAATATTCTAATCTGTACACACCATTTCTATGGTCAGCTTGAAAGTCTTACCATTAGTATCAAGACAATTGAAAATTGGTCTATGGTCTTCGTACGAGTAGAAAAAAAAAAATCTATAAACTGGGCTCGCTTACTACTGGTTTGATACAAATCAGAAGTTGACTATATTTGATCAGCTCCTGCAGATTGTTTCAATTGATTATTGCAGGAAACTTGAGTCTACATCTTTTCTTGTGACATTGGGTTATTGACCACAAATTTAAAAAAAATTTTTTTTTACAGGATGTAGATTCCTCCCCCGCTTTCCTCCTTGAACTGTGTACAGCACAGCTTTGTTCCTGCTCAATAAGGAGAAAAGTCAATTTATGGACTGTCAAAGCCTAGCTTTCATTCTTTATTCCAACATATTGCATTAATATTTCTTTAACGAACCCTGTTTTCTATATAATACATCAAGGATGTATTGTATAGTAAACAGTAGTCTCTATTGGCAAAACCAAACTATTGTTTGGTTTTCTATTCAGAATCTTGAAGTGTTTTTACAAAAAAAAAAATGCATCAGAGCTTAATCTGAGAATGAGTCATATTTTCACCTATAAAGTGTGCAAACTGTTTTCAGTCATCTGAACAAACCTTCACAACTCGTTGAGTTTTTTAGGAATGAAAAGCCTTGCAGAGCTTTGAAATTTCAAAACCAATAGAATTAGTGAACGAAGTGTACCACACTTTTGAGGAAACTGATAATTTTCCATTATTTGAATAACTGAAACACTACTTAGCTGAATATCTTACTGACCAATTTAAATGATAGTTGTGGGGGTTGAGTTGAGCAGGGCAGCAGGGGGATATTTTCCTCTGTACAAGCCGGTAAGCCTCAAAAATGAGTAATCCAGTGTAATAGCCTGTGTTTTGTCCTCTGTTTGAGCCTTATGTTATTTTCTCCTTTTGGTGTTATGCTTACAGGTTCCTCAGGGAGTCCTTGAAAGAGGCAAATCATACACGATAAATATAACCGGGAAGGCTGGATCAAATCTGGATGTGTTGGTAGAAAACATGGGTCGAGTAAACTATGGTAGATACAACAATGACTTTAAGGTAAATTTAGTCACTAATGATTATACAATTAAACTTGTCAAAGCACACCAGAGATCAGCTTTTCTTCTATTGGTAGAAGAAAATCTTAATGCAATAGTAAGAGCAAAGGGTTCGGGAATATGCTGGTGCAACTCTACCTAACTCAGAATACAACTAATACTTTTCTTATGAGTCCTGCTCTCATTGAGGTCAAAGTGGCATTAAAAGCAGACACCCTTTAACTTTTGGTGGTTTTATATCACCCACAGGGCTCTCAAGAGGTGTTGAGTCTTCTGATGTATCATCTAAGGATGCATCAACCAGTTCAAATGAATTCAAAACAGCTGAAACGTCATTTAGAACTCAAGCTCACTGGAGTTTGCAAATTCAGATTTTATATATAAAATTAGTACTTTTGAATGTCCATACATGTCTTGGTTCAGTTGCAAGTGCTGCACTCTTGCAGCATTTTTCAGCATCCCTGGAAGAAGGATCCCTCATGCAAATGCTTTATCTTGCCAAATTTCCAGTCCAGGTTTGAGCAGATGAGATAAGGCTTGGTTATAAATCTCAGAACCTCTGGGTGCTTATCTAAAGCACACTTCTGAACTGTAATTCATCATTAGTAATGTCCCAACACTGTATTAACATGAACCGGGGGAAGTGCTGTCATATGAATTTTGGTGAGTATCAAGCTTGGTGTTGACTTCTGTTACAGATGGGGGAGAAGTAGTGACAGGACCACCTTTTTGTTATGTTTGTGCTGTATTGAATGGACTACCTTTTTTATGTTTGTATTGTGCTTAGCACAATAGGGCCCTGATCACTGATTGTCTCTGGTTACTACTGGAATACAAATAACAATGGAGCAGTGGCCAGGAACCCACTTTGCCCGTCGAAGGGAATCTGTGGCTCAAACTGCAAGAATAACTATTGGAGATGCAAAAATGTGGGTAGCTTGGGTTTGGAGGTGCAGTGGTTCAGACTTTAATCCTTTTCTGGAGAGCTAGGTTCAAATGCAGATTACAGTGGGTTTCAAGAGTCTGAATTTGGTGCTCCCTAGTGGCATATTTACCCATACCAAAAATCTATAGTACAGTGTGACACAACTGGCCATCACTACTTGGGAGAGACCAAAGTCTGAAATGGGACTGCTACAAGCCAAGATGGAAGTTCTTTAGAAGAGCTGCATTGTGTGGAGGCTTGCACGGCTGTTTGGCAGGATTACGGCGATTGCAGTCAGATTAGTGATGCTTCGCTGGCATGAGCATGACTTTTGGAAGAAAACTAATTTCATCTCAAGTCTGCTTCAGGAGTTGACCATTTGGCCATTAAAATGGGGTTTCCGTAGCCCTACTTGTGGCATCAGGTAATCCTGACCATTTATATCAAGATCTTGTCTTTTTTGCAGCCCCTCCCCACAGGTAAGCTAGGCACCTCACAGTGCTGCTAAGATTTTGGCAAAGACTTACAGCCCAATTTAGATGTGAGGGCAAAAGCAAACCGCTAGAGAAAGGCTAGAGGAAGAGAAGGTGCCACAGCAATGAGATTACGTGGTTACTCAGCAAAGGCATGTGTGCAGAAGGAGGAAGTAGATTTTTTAAATACATGAAAATAAATAAAAATAAAATGTCTTTCTTGACTTGCTTTGGTAGACTGCTCTCTAAATGTCTATCCAAAGAACATCTGAGACTTGTCAATGTACCGCATCTAGCGGATGTTGCTCACTGTCTTCAGTTATATTAGGCAGTGGATATTTTATGGAATCCTGACTAAGAGTTTGATGTTGTCTTCCAGGATGGTGAGATGCAAATTATAACCTAGATAGACAGTGAAAAGAATGATCTGATAATGGTGATAATGCAGAGCAAAAGGATTTAAACCAGATTTGGGTTTAACATAAGAACATCAGAATGGCCATACTGGGTAAGACCAGTCATCACCTAGCCCAGTATCCTGTCTTCCAACAGTGACCGGTGCCAGATGCTTTAGAGGGGATGAACAGAACAGGGCAGTTATCGAGTGGTCCAGTCCCAATATCTGGCAGTCAGAGGTTTAGGGTCGGTCAGAGTGTGAGGTTGCATCCCTGACTATTTTGGCTAATAGCTATTGACAGACCTATCTTCCAGGAACTTGCCTAATTCTTTTCTGAACCCAGTTATAGTTTTGACCTTCACAACATCCCCTGGCAATAAGTTGCATAGGCTGACTGTGTGTTTTGTGAAGAAGTACTTCCTTATGTTTATTTTAAACCTGATGCTTGTTAATTTCATTGGGTGACCCCGGGTTCTTGTGTTATGGGAAGGAATAAATGACACTTCCTTATTCACTCTATCCACACTAGTCATAATTTTATAGACCTCTAGCATATCCCTCCTTAGCCATCTCTTTTCTAAGCTGAACAGTCCCAGTCTTATTAATCTCTCCTTGTATGGAAGCTGTTCCATACCCCTTATAATTTCTGTTGCCTTTCTCTGTACTTTTCCCAATTCTAATATACATTTTTTGAGATGTGATGATCAGAACTACATGCGGTATTCAAAGTGTGGGCATTATGATATTTTCTGTCTTGTCTTCTCTATCTTGGTCCTTAACATTCTGTTAGTTTTTTTGATTGGCGCTGCACATTGAGTGGATGTTTTCAGATAACTGTCCACAATAACTCCCAGATGTCTTTCTTGAGTGGTAACAGCTAATATAGACCCCATCATTTTATATGTGTAGTTGGGATTGTGTTTTCCAATGTGCATTCCTTTGCATTTATCCACATTGAATTTCATCTCCCATTTTGTTGCCCAGTCACCCAGTTTTGTGAGATCCCTTTGTAACTCTTCCCAGTCAGTTATGGACTTAACTATCTTGCGTCATTTTGTATCATCTGCTAATTTTGCCACTTCACTATTTACTCCTTTTCCAGATCATTATGAATATGTTGAACAACACTGGTCCCAGTACAGGTACTTGAGGGATCCTGCTATTTACCTTTCTCTACTGTGAAAACTGACCATTTATTCCTACCCCTTGTTTCCTTATTTTCAACCAGTTACTGAACCATGAGAGGACCTTCCCTTTTATCCCATGATTGCTTCCTTTGCTTAAGTGCCTTTGGTGAGGGACCTTGTGAAAGGCTCTCTGAAAGTCCAAGTACACTTTATCAATAGGATCGTCCTTGTCCACAAGATTATTGACATCCTTAGAGAATTCTAATAGATTGGTGAGGCATGATTTTCCTTTACAAAAGCTGTGTTGACTCTTCCCTGACATATCATCTTCATGGGATGGGGGAGGGATAGCTCAGTGGTTTGAGCATTGGCCTGCTAAACCCAGGGTTGTGAGTTCAATCCTTGAAGGGGCCACTTAGGGATCTGGGGCAAAATCAGTACTTGGTCCTGCTAGTGAAGGCAGGGGGCTGGACTCAATGACCTTTCAGAGTCCCTTCCAGTTCTATGAGATAGGTATCTCTCCATATATTATTATCTATGTGTCTGATAAGTCTGTTCTTTACTATAGTTTCAACCAATTTGTCTGATACTGAAGTAAAATTTACTTGCCTGTAATTGCCAGGATCACCTCTGGAGCCTTTTTAAAAAATCAGCATTACTTTAGTTATCTGCCAGTCATATGGTACAGAGGCTGATTTAAGAGAGAGGTTACATAACACAATTAGTAGTTCTGCAGTTTCATATCTGAGTTCCTTCGGAACTCTTGGATGAATACCATCTTGTCCTGGTGACTTACTACTGTTTAATTTATCATTTTGTTCCAAAACTTTTTCTATTGACACCTCAATTTGGGACAGTTCCTCAGATTTGTCACCTAAAAAGAAGGGCTCAGTTGTAGGAATCTCCTTCACATCCTCTGCAGTGAAGACTGATGCAAAGAATTCATTTAGCTTCTCGTCAATGGCCTTATCCTCCTTGTGTGCTCCTTTAGCACCTCAATTGTCCAGTGGCCCCACTGATTGGGAGGTTTCCTGTTTCTGATGTACTTTAAAAAAAAAAATTGTTGTTAATTTTTGTGTCTTTTGCTAGTGCTCTTCAAATTCTTTTTTGGCCTGTGTAATTATGCTTTTACACTTGACTTGCAGAGTTTATGCTCCTTTCTATTTTCTTCAGTAGGATTTGACTTCCAACTTTTAAAGGACATCTTTTTGTCTTTAACTGCTTCTTTTGCTCTGTTATTTAGCCATGGTGGCATTTTTTTGGTCATCTTGCTGCTGTTGTTTTTTTAATTTGGGGTATACATATAGCTATGATGGTGTTTTTAAAAAGTTTCCATGCAGCTTGCAGGCATTTCACTTTTGTGACTGTTCCTTTTAATTTCCACTTACCTAGCTTCCTCATTTTTGTGTAGTTCCCCTTTCTGAAGTTAAAAGCTACTGTGGTGAGTTTCTGTGGTATTTTGCTCCCTACAAGGACGTTAAATTTAATTACATTATGGTCACTATTACTGAGCTGTTCAGCTATATTCACCTCTTGGACCAGATCCTGTGCTCCACTTAGGACTAAATCAAGGACTTTCTCTCCCCTTGTGGGTTCCAGGACTAGCTGCTCCAAGAAGCAATCATTTATGGTGTCTAGAAATTTTATTTCTGCATCCTGTGCTGAGGTGACATGTTACCCAGTCAATATGGGGATAGCTGAAATCCCCCAATACTACTGTGATTTCTATTTCTGTAGCCTCTCTAATCTGTCTGAGTATTTCACAATCACTGTCCCCATCCTGGCCAGATAGTCGATAGTATATTTATACTGCTTTACTCTTATTATTCAAGCATGGACTAGCTATCACAGAGATTCTATGATACTGTTTGATTCATTTAAGATTTTTACAGTATTTGACTCTGTGATTTCTTTCGCTTATAGTGCCACTCCCCCACCAGCATGACCTACTCTATCATTCCTATATAATTTGTGCCTGGTATTACCATGTCCCATTGATTATCATCGTTCCACCATATTTCTGTGATGCCTATTATGTCAATATCCTCATTTAATACCAGGCTCTCAAGTTCACACGTCTTAATATTTAGACTTTTAGTATTTGTATAAAAGCACGTATAAAATGTATCCGCATTTAGTTGTTTGCCTTCCTATGGTGTAATTGAATGGAACTCCTTTTTGTTTGACTGTTTCTCTTCATCTTCTACTTGTTCTTTATCAACTTCTATCCTCTCCTCTTTACTAGGACATAGAGAATCCCTGTTAATAGATCCTCCCCTAAAGGATGTGTCTATCCGAACTGTTGGCTTTCCCCCACCTCTTAGTTTAAAAACTCCTCTGTGACCTTTAAATTTTACATGCCAGCAATCTGGTTCCATTTTGATTTAGGTGGAGCCCATCCTTCCTGTACAAGTTCTTCCTTTCCCAAAAGGTTTCCCAGGTCCTAATAAACCTAAATCCCTGCTCTGAACACTATCATCTCATTCACGTATTGAGATCATGCATTTCTGCCTGTCTGACTGGGCCTGCATGTCGAACTAGAAGCGTTTCAGAGACTGCTACCATGCGGGTCCTGGACTTCAATCTCTTACCTAACACCTAAATTTGCCTTCCAGGACCTCTTTCCTAGCTTTCCGGATGTCATTGCTACCTACAGGTACTACAACCACCAGCTGTTCCCCAGCACTGCACATAAGTGTGTCTAGATGTCTTGAGTTCTTTAACCTTTGCATCCAGCAACCAATTCTCCCAGTCATCACATACCCAACTATCTATATTTCTAATAATTGAATCCCCCTTTACTATTACCTGTCTGTTCCTAGGAACAGGAGTCCCCTCCTCCAAAGGGTTATTCTCAGTACGAGAGGATAACATGACATCATATGGAAGGAGTGTCCTAACTATAGGATCATTTCCCTCCACTCCAGCTTGATATTGTTCTTCCTCAAGACTTTCGTCGTCCTCAACAGCACAGAGAATGTCAGACTGTGGGTGGGACCACTCCACTGTGTCCTGGAAAGTCTTGTGTATGTACCTCTTTTTGTCTCCTTTAGCTCCTCCAGTTCAGCCACTCTGGTTTCAAGAGCCCTCTAAAGGAGTCTAGTTACTTAAGGTGCTTACGGTTCTGAGATACGTTTTGGAAGTTTGTGTGGTTTAAGGATGTAGTGCTGGAGTCTGTTAGCTAGTCCAATCTAACTAACCTTGGTAAAACTCTAATTAGGAGAAAGGAAGCAGTACTTCAGTGCCTGGTAAGTTTCCTAGGCTCCAGGCTTTCACCAGCTTAGCACATGCCGAAGTACAATTTTACTTGTCCTGTCTTGCGTTTTAGACGTTGCTAGTTAGATTGAGCTAACAATACACCTTTAAATCCTAGCCTGGGCAAAATGTGTGCACATGTGTATCTGTGGTGCTTGTGGAAGCTGGTGGACTAAGAGTCCTGCAGACTGAAGTCCTTTCTTTATCTACTGAACAGGTGTTGCATGGGCAACAATAGAGCCAGTTCCATCTGTGCTACCCTGCCAGTTTGCGTCACCCTTTATCTGATGGGTGTGAGAGTCGCTTAGCCCACGACTGCCAAGAAGGGTAACAAGTGTGCTGGTAGTCTGGGGGATGTGTACCCCTTTTTACTGGGAACTAGATTATAAGATAACAAAATGGAGTTTAGAAGATGAATTATGGAGGAGCCAGTTGTGCTTCCATAGGTGATGGTTGAGTTGAGCTTTTCACAAAAATCTGGGATTCAGCATTTAAATATTAGGAATGAAATCAGGTTCAGTAGACATGTATGGTATGAAAAGAAACCCGTGTGTGCACCAGAGGCTGCAGAAAAGTGAGATCCTTGCATAGGGAAGAGATTAGGATTTTCCAGATACCTATGGAAAATGTGTAATACTGTTTCTTGCAGAGGGGACTCTCTCTGCTGTGGTAAGCAAGGGTTTAGGGGCAATTATACAATATCAGTTGGGGAAACTAAGAGAAATTAACTGTCTAGTCTTTTTTAAAATACCTTTGTCCTCAAAGCTAAACTTGAGGGAGTTGTGCCACAAACCTTGCAAAAAGGCCTACATTTTTAAAGCAAATAAGGTAGCTTTTGTGTTTCCTTTTTTGGTTAAGGTTTAACAATGTGAAATGGAATTAAGTATCTAGATTTTGGGGAAGTAGCTCAAAATATCTGCTGTTTTGCATTTGCTGATATGTCTTGTTGCTGAAGGAAACAAAGGAAGGAAGCAGATCTAGTGTGGTTGTATGTGCTTCCTACATCTTTTGCTGTACGTTACCTGGAAAACTCGCTTCTCTATTTTAATGCATATTAGAAAGGTGCTGATAAAAACAAAAGACAATATGTTCATTAGGAGCTGCGGGATCTTAGCACCATTTGAAAGTCAGACTACTCCTTATCTAAGTGCCTAAACATGGATATAGGCAAGCAAGTTCAGAAAACCTGGCCAAAGATATACCGTATGACTTGAATTCAGACTGTTTATTAGAGTAAGGGCTTGTCTACGTAGGAAAGCTTTACCAGTATAATCCCCTGTGTGGACACACTCTTATTCTGGTGTAAGAGAGGCTTTTTTTTCAGTTGAGCTTATGTTGCTTGGGAAGGGATTTAAACTATGCTGAGACGATTCTTATGCTGGAATAAGTGTGTCTACGTTAGGAGTTATACTTGTCTCACTATATCAATTTAAATTCAACCCTGCGGCTTTGTGTGCATGGGAAGGTTTTATTGGTGTGACCTAAGTGTCAAATACTGTAATAGAAACTGTTGTAACAACCTTTTGTGGGTAGGGAAGGATTTGATTTCTGTAAGCAAACTTCTGAATCTACCTCTGATGTATGAAATGTGTCCTCACTTAGGTCCCACTTCAGCATGATACTTAATAACATTCTTCACATTAAGCACATTAGTCTCATTGAAGTAACATGGACTACTATGCTTAAAGTTAAGCACATACATAAGTACTTTGCTGGCTCAGGGTGAGCCTTGAAGCCCTGACTTTGTGATACTGTGTACGAGCTACAGTAGTTCTGTAGGAAGCAAATAACGCTGTCTGTACTACTATGTAGAGTGACTCAGTGTTGCCAGCTCTTGTGATTTCCTTAATGCGCCCATTCCTGGAATCCCGTGATTGTGAAAATTGCAGCTTGATTTTAACACTAAGTTTTCTAGCCTCCGTGGTTGCAGCGAAAAGCTTGAAAATGTGACCCAAGTGTATCCTAAAGGCTCAAAACCCAGAAAGCAAATAAAAATGAGGGGTTTCTTCAAGGTTTTTTTTTGTTTGGTTTTTGCTTTTTTTAAACTAATCCTTAATTTTGGGAGACTTGACGCATGAGTTTTGAACACTTGGGGTTGGCAATACTGGTGACTACTGTAGTTCAGCCAAGTTTTTATTTCTCTTCCCTGTTTTGTACTCAGGACAGTTGGAGATAAATAACTGTAATGAGATGAGATTATTGATTTTGTTAACATCTTTAATTTCTTTGCAGGGTCTAGTGTCAAATTTATCTCTTGGCCAAGTTACACTCATTGACTGGGAGATCTACCCCCTAGACATAGACAGTGTGGTGGGCCATGGCCTAAATAGCAGAGGTGATGAATCAAAAACATCTGGTGGTAATCCCTCAAGAGATGCAGCTCCTGCTTTTTACACTGGCAGATTTTCTATTCCCAGTGGAATCCCCGATTTACCCCAAGACACCTATATCAAGTTTCCTGGCTGGACAAAGGTAGGTTTCTTTTTCTAAGATGTTTACCGAAAAACCTGAATCTGATTCTGAAGTCACCTTAAAATTGTTGTTAAAGGTCAAGAACAGCCCGCTAATAGGGGCGGAGGACTAGGTAACAACAGTGAGGTAGTTTTGAAGGGTCACTCACATATATCAAATGGTATTCAGAGATGTTGAGATCTTGTAAGTGACTAGTCTGTGGATCATATAATTTACCTAAATCTTGAACAAATCTGGGGATAGCAAACTAAGCTGAGGGAAGCTCATATTAAGTAGTCCTTCAGTGACGTTGGCTAGGCAAATGATGTGCCACGTAAGTATGCAGCTATTATAGATATAGTGAGTAGGAGACACAGATGTGTGTGGTCAGGCCTATTTAGAATATGGCATTCAGTTTTGGTCTTTTTTTCTTGGGGGGATGGAGAGAGAGCTGCCCTCTGGAGAAGGGAAGTGAATACAGGCTTTTAAAAGGCTGCTTGTTCTGGAGAAAGTGAGGTACTAGAAGTTGGCCTCTTGAGCCAGAGTGGAGTCAGGCTGGCTGAGCAGAAGTAATAAAGGACATAATTGCTGAAGTGGTGCTAGAAAAACTCTTCATGCCGAGGAGTGGAGAAAATTATCCAGTGTCTTTGTATGGAGATTTTAGCTTTTTTTAAAAAATTAAAAATTGCTCATTAACAAAGCACACAATTCTGACAGTCAGAAGATGAGACTTGCTAGCTCAGAGGAAGGGTCCCAGCAGGAACAGTCATGACCTAACTTGTAACAAGGTTGCCTAAATGATTCTAAAACCTGTAGCCCCACCTTCACTACCCACAAAAAATCCCGTTGGAATGCAAAAATCCCTAATCGTGTCTCACAACTGGACATTGGCCTGGCTTCCAGTTCTGAGCCACATTGCTCCCCCTTACATCAGGTTGCCGATTGCAGCTAGCAAGCTGCTTGATAAGTTACATGCCGATCCAAGCTTTCCCTTGTTCGGCGACCTCTGTAGCCCATCAGCTACACATCTTTCATCACGGCACCCAGTGTGGTCAAGGCTGCCACGCCAGGATGTGACAGCGGAGTCCCTGTGGTGGGAAGACTGGTGCTTAACACCAACCACCAATCAGTTTCTCATCACAGACCCTACTGCTCGCCTGCCCAACTTCAACCTGCCACGTCGTCAGGCCCTTCTTAACTGATTCCAGACTGGGCAAGGCCTCTGTGCAACCAACCAGCTCCATTGGGGTCTTTGAGACAGTCCAAGCTGCGGTGCAGGTTGAACAATGATACCCATTGTTGAGGAGTGCCTGCTAACCAAATTCAGTGGTGGGCTCCGAGAGCTGCACTTGGCCACTAAGAACGCTAATGCTTGGCTAGGCGAATACACAAATGCTAAATAAATAAATTGGCATGGTTAAACCTGAGTGGGTGGGATTTCCAACAGCTCTCACTGTTGGCTTCTCTCTGCTTCTATTGAAGCCAGTAGTAGAATTTACATTGACTTCAGGGGGTGCAAGAGGCCAATGCTAAGTGCTTATGGAAATTGCACCCATAGCATAGCTGGGCCCTTTTTGTTTTGATTACAAGCCCCAATTTCTATACCGATTTAGAACTCCATTTTAAATCCCCATCTAGCTGAAACGGCATATGAGCTGGTGGCATGCAGCAGTTATCGATCTTCTCAAGGAAATCACTTGGATTGGTTTAGCATCCTCTTCCCCCTCCCTCCCCAGTTCAATTTTATGTCCCCCTCCCTGACCAGGCTCCTCACTTTAAAAAATGGACTCTTCAGATAGTCTGGCTTTGTGTGTACCTGGGAACAGCAGTTCAGTGATCCCAGGACACATGAATGGCCCAGTGTACCAGTTCCAAGGCTTGGCCCTTCCTGGCCTGCACAGTTGGTTTGGGTTGGTTTGTACCGATTTGTTGGATATGATATTTAGACTATCGAAGTAGCTATATCAGACCCAACTCCCTAATATGGATGCAGCTGTAGCTGTATAAAGATGCCTTATACCAATACAGCTGATTCCCCTTCCCTTATGGGAATAAGCTATACTGGTATAATCACCTTTATACCACTATAACTGCATCCACGCTAGAGGGGTTGTACCACCTTAGACGTCTGCCCAGGCCTAATTTTCAAGTCTGACCCAGACTTGAACCCGACCCAAGCACAGCCAAGCCAAACCTGATCCAAAAGGGTTAAGTCTTTTCAGCCCCGACCCAAACCCAACAGTTACTCCATCCCGCTCCGAACCTGTGCCAGTGCTGTCGTGTGGGCTTGGCGTCATCCTGGGCCTGCAATCTGTCGCCAGACACCTCCTGCCCTTAGGGTTGACGCAGCAGCAGCTGCGTGGCCTGCTCCTGCTGGCCGCCACCTGACTGTGTGGCGTGTGCTACGGAGTAAGTGTGATGAGGAGTTGCAGCGCCTCTTCCCTGGCAGCACACAGAACAGTTAGGTGGCAGTGGTTGGCAGGAGCAGAGCATGCAGCCACCACCGTGCCAACCCCGCAGGCAGGAGGAAGTGATCAGAGCTGACCTGAGCCTGAGAGTGTGGGCTGGTTTCCAGCCCAACCCGAACCCCACACTTGTAGTCGGGTCCTGTTGGGTTGCGAAGCTCTGTACCACTTTACCTGTATTGGTATAGTTAAAGCAGTACAAGTTTTGTGTGTAAACAAGACCAGAATTTCTCCCTAGCTGAGGGGAATGAGCCCTGGGGGTGGCAGTCAAGTGACCATCCAAAGTTCATAAGGAGTGCCAATAGTCCACTTTGAGAGTGGAGGTGGGGAGAAAGCAAGTGCAGGGTGAAGGTTCCCCCTAGTTCCCAGGCAGAGGGCCTGGGGAGCGAGACTGCTGGGAGCAGAAGCCTGCTGGGAGAAGATTCAGTTGAGAGACCTGGGAAACGGGTTTATATACAGGGGAAGCTGAAGGAAGGCTTATGGAGGACTATGGCCTGGGGAAAACTGAAGGACAAGGCTAGAGCTTGAGTGACTAAGGGCAAATAGCCCAATTATAAGATGGAACCTGTAGGAGACTGTGGGCATTGGCCCCCTTCTATGCTGCTACTGTGGGATGTGGGAAGATTAATTAGAGGCAGCAAGGTGAGCCTGGTGGAAGGGCTGAAGATTGCCTAAGACCCTCGGAGGGAACTGCTGTGACCTGGAAGAGTGTAGGGCAGAAGACTGTGTGTTGCCACTAGACTTTATTTTTGATGCTCCGGAAGTGGTGAACTCTGACTTAGCCAGAGAGCTAAGTCACCTCAGTGCTGCAATGCAGTAAAGACTCCTGCATGCGAGCACTGCAGCAACCTACAAGCCTGTGGGTGACTCAGAGGGGAAACTGGAGCACTGGAGATGCCTAATGCTGAACTGGATAAGCCCCAGCTATCTTGGGATTCAGCCATAGCAACCTGTGTAGCTGCACCAGCCCAAGCCCCAACTGTAGTCAAGAAAAGCAGTGATTTGCATGGATTGAGGGTTACACAGGCAATGGTGCAAGTCATGGCTTTCCTTAGCAACACTTGGGGTTTGCAGGGATGCAGGTACACCAGTTGCTGATTGCTGATTTGGCGCTAATCTCGCACCTAGAGAAGGACATGTAGGGTGATATTTGTTTTCAAAGAAGGAAGCAGAATGACCACAATGATGTGTCTTTATAAAAGAAAATGTGGATCTTGATTTTTCACTCTTCAAAGTTCAGGCAATTCACAGGTTCCAGATCTTTTGTTTATCCCACAAATTGAAACACAGGCCAATTGCTAAATTCTGGTTTGGATTCCAAAAGCTACTAACTCTCAAATTTTGGATGAACTTAGATCCAGGGTTTTTGTTTGGCACTTTTAAATGGTTCTGTTCCAACACCTAATGCTTCTTAGGTAGGTTCCACAACCTTTCTGTATTTGCCATGAATGACATTAATGTGATTTGAGAGATTCCTGAAAATTCAGTGGAATTAGTATCCTGGCCAAAAATTCCACATACCCGCTCTATACAATGTCATGGTACACTATATATGCATAACCGTGAATGTGTTCATGAAGGACTGTAAGGGTTTTTCTGACATTTTTATCAAGTCCACAGGAGCCTTCAAAATGATACAGTATTGGTAGAAGTGGAAAATAGTTTTCTGCTATGAAATTGTTGCATACTTCATAGCCATTATTGGGCAATCTTAGTTTGAATGAGTAACATTTTAAAACTTCATTGAAAACAAGTAGCAATCGTTCATCATGAGGTGAGATTTTAAAATCGCTATGAAAATAAGACTAAATAAAAGTACCTCCCTCCAAATGAGTGATAGTTGCAACTCTGCGCTATAGCAAAGTATTGTGCATGGTCAGTCATCATTACACTGGCAGGCTTTTTCTTTCATACAGTACTCTTGAACATTTGTTGTTTTTTAAATGTGTAAGACTAACATTAAGAAATGGATTGCAGTAACTATATTAGTTGCCAAAAGAGTTGTTTTGAGAAAATGGCGCTCTGCAATTCCTCAGTCGTACACAGATTGGCTTAGTGAGTTCTCTATTACTAATGGAAAAAATGACTGTCTAATAGAAATGCTTGGAAAAAAATGAGGATGTCTGGTTACTCATGAAACTATTGCATATTTTTTGCAGTTTAGTATATATTAGTCCGCAACACTCATAGGTTATGTTCTCACTTATTTATCTATTTAGTCACTTTAATAATTGATGCCCTGCATGATCTCTACAGGTTGTTTTTTGTTTTTTCCCCCCAGATTTTAGAAATCATGAATGTTGTATTTGTTCTTTATATGCTATTTCTATCTTGTGCTTGTATTTATATATGTTTTGTTTCATTGTTTTAATATTTTATATAAAAATAATAAAGATAAAGTTTTTAAAAAGTCTAAGACTGTCAATCTAGCACCTGTCAGTGGTACTGAATTTACTCCTAAAAAATTGGACAGGCTGTAATTGACTGAGTGCAAAGTTAAGTTGTTGCTGTGTTGTAGCATATCAAGTGTGCTGTATCTTTTTTTAAAAAAAAACCACAGTGGTTTAGAGGCTCCTGTCTGTTGCAGAACTTAATGGTATGGCTTAAAAAAGGGGTTTCAGAGTTTAGATAATGAACTAGAAACTACTGCTGAGTTGTGAACAACTATCTTGTCATATAAAGGAAGTTTTCTGTTTCTAATTGCTGGTTCTTCTGTTTTTATTTTGTATAACATGTTATTTAGTCTATATGGATGTTATAAATTAGTAGATTTGGGGACATATATGGACATAGGATTTCATAACCATGCTGCATACGTGATCTGTAAACTTAAGAACAGCTCCTTGCAAATTAACCTTTGAGCTCATATTTTCCAAGAAATTGTATGAAGTAAACTGTCAGACTTAAAGACCAGAAGGGACCATTATGATTTTTTTTTTAATCTCATCTGACCTTCTGTATAGGTCTTAGAATTTCCCCCTCTAAGTCCTGCACCAACCCACAAGTTCTCAATGAGCTAGAGCATATTTCACATTACCGTAATGAATTTATCTTGTGTGTGGAACAGTAACTTACAGCAATTCTAATGCCATTTTTCACCCTAAAAGATCACAGAAGCAAAGCACTGAGGCAGAATATTTTCTTTCCCCCTACGTACCGCAAAAACAAGCCACAGAACGAGATTAATTTGATTAAAAAAAATGTTTGGGGTTGAAGTTTAACAACACCTTGGCAAAACAGAGCAAGATAGGATCCTAGGCCACAGAGGCAAATGGAAAGTTGAACTCACCCTCATTTGGGAATTTACCGTCTCTTGGAGAAAAATTATGAATTTGACATAATTTATTTATAAAGATTTGAAATAAATTTACAGAAACACAACTGCAATATAACTATTTTCTTTTTAATACTCTACTAATCTATGTTTGAGAGACTTTGCTACATTTTCCTCACCTTTCATTTTTAATTGCAATTTCACGTCCCCCAAGTTTTTCGGAAGCCACAACGATGCTGTTAAAGTCCTACCTTCCCAGTGCCTTATAGAAACCCTTTTATTTAGTCATCATTCTGCCTTTGTGCCATGCATCTCATAGTTTTTTCCCCCTAGTCTTAACGGCTAAGGATATTTTATATGGGGAAAAATTGATGCTTTAATTCACCTGCTCCTGTTGAATTCTCGTCCATTGAAGTCCCAGTGTTCTGAGCCTGTAGCTGACTAACACAGAAAGTGCGTTCGTGAGAGATTGGAGCTGTGTGGCATGTTAAACCTCAAAAACACGTGGAACTTTCCTTTTTGTTATGAACTCAAAACAGTCCAGTTCAGTCAAAACGTTCATGAACCGAGGTTCAGTTTTGAGTGAATGTGGCTCCGTTTACAATTCCACTGAAATGGTATGAAACGTCACCATTTTAAAGATGACTAAGATGATTTTTCTAAAAATAATGAGCTTGGGGGTGTTTTTTGCTGCTTTATGATGTGTTTAAAAGATGCAATTTTTTGAAAGGCTTTCTTAAGCTTGTTTTTTTTACGTTGGAAACATCAACAATGTCAAGTCATCCCTCTTTTTGCAAGAGTGCTTCTTGGATGTCTCAGATGCTTGTGTGAGATCTCGCATTACCAGACGTGGTCTGGGTCTTTCAACTTTAACAAGAGTATTATTTTTTCTCCTAAGTCTTGGTGGTCACTAGAACCTGACTTTAACCAAACAACAACAAAACCCACTGAAAACAGAGTTTAACAGTCTAGCTAAACTGTCCCTTTTTCTTCATAGTTGCTCAGGTTTCTCTTTCGTGATGTTATTTATCAAGTTCTCCTGTTGCCATAGAGACTTTGAGGGTCGGAAACGGCTGAAACAAGCTGCGAATAAATTACTTTTTTTGCACAAAAACTCTCAGACCATTGTTCAGTGCACTTTTTCAACAAGTCACCTCCCCTCCCCTTTACCAGTTACCTTTAAGCAAATATAATTTTGTTTTCAGGTTTGTTTTAACCTGAAACTTAAAGCAAAATTCAGGGCTGGGAGAGGGGTGGACATTATGTCGCTCCCTCTTGAAATAAAACCAAAGGAAGGTTTGCCAGAAGCTCCTGACAACTAAAATATTGAGCTTCACAGAGCTCTACAGAGAATGGCTTCAGGTGAGACACAAACGCAACATCCAGAAATTCTGTTGCTCCCAAATGTCTCCAGTTAAACTTGCCAAGAGTCACTTTTTCAAGCTTCCCAAGTAGTATTGACTGGTCTGGGACACAGTAGTTCTCTGTCTCTTTGGTGTTTTATGGATACTACTAATTTATTTTCTTGGCGTGCAAGTCTTCATTTTTTAGTAAAGGTATATTTTCTTCCAACATCTCATTTTTAAATGTTGACACGGTTTTTAATTAATCAAGGAACTATGATTGTTTTGCCTGTTTTTAAAGTATGTTTTGATCAGGATTTAAATCCCAGCATATTTTAGCCTGATCAATATATAGTGTGAAAATATAGTGTTTCATTGTATGAAACATGAAGGCTCAATTCCTGTCCTCAGGATGGTAGAGGTTAAGTAAGCTATTAATTTAATAATTTTTATTTGACTTAAAACATTTTTTTTTTCTTTTGGCAGGGACAAATTTGGATCAATGGCTTTAACCTCGGTCGTTACTGGCCAGTTCGTGGTCCTCAAGTGACCCTATTTGTTCCAAGCAACATCCTCGTTTCGTCGTCACCGAACAATATCACAGTGTTGGAGCTGGAGCAGTCTCCTTGTGGCATTCAGAAATGTGCCATAGAATTTGTAGACAAACCTGATATCAATGCAACACTGCAGTATGAAAACAACACCCGGAAGCTGTTCACTAAAGATTTATGGCTGGACCCTCTATGATTATTTAGGAATGTGTCCCCTTACCTTCTCCTGTTTTTCTACCCCACACCCTCAAATCCTACATTCTTCGCAGGGAAAATCAGTGTTAAAAATCGATTAGTATGTTTAACTGTGGAAATTTTTTCAAAGCACTGAAAGCATAGCTGTTTACTAACAAGAGATACTAAATACAGGGTCTCCTTTAAAAGTGAAGATTCTAGCCTTAGAGTAAGTTGTTGTGCACGAGACTTGACTTAGATGGAAGATAATATTTAACATCAAAGTCTTAGTAAACAGATAGCTTTGGGAACTGTGAGTGCATGAAAAGGAACCTCTTAAATTAGTTGTTTTACCATCTCTTGTGAACTTAGAGAAATTTACCTTGCTAAGAACTGAGTGGCCCCACTACCACGCTTATAAACATTTAATCTCCACAAACAAGTATCCAAAGGGTTTGTGTGTGCCAAGTACCATTTGGATTTGACTTGTTTTCCTCCAGGCTTAAATACCTGGTTAGTGTGGCTACTGTTTCAGTCTGCAGTAGCTTATTGCCAGCATGGTCAGTCCTCTTCCCCCGCCTTCTCCCCCCCTTTAGAAACCTTCCCAGTGACCTTCAGAATTCTCCCAGAATCTGCTGCTTCTTGGACCTGTGACAGGAATTATGGGGTAGGTACCTAGAGTGCATTGCAACTGAAATGGTGAAACAGCACTGATGTGGATGTTAGTGAGTAGCTTCTGGTCACAGGTCTGCCACAGTTTCCCCTTGGGCTAACTCACTGACTCTCCTCCAGCTCCCAGCACTGGCATGATTTAGCCGTTTGGCTAAGTGACAAAGTCCACTCCTTTTGGAATTAACAAAACAAATCCACAAACAGAGTTTTTGAACCCGTTACAGTCTTGCCTGACTTTAGCATTCAAAAATCATGATATTGGTGTAATCATGGGACTTTAAGAAAAAACAACTTCCCCCCCCATTTTGGCTTCTGGTATTTGAGTCGTTGAGGTACACTTGAGTCATGTTCTCAAGCTTTTCTCTGCAACCATGGGGGCTAGATATCTTTTAATAAAACCTGAGCCTCATGTAATAGTCTCCAGGAGTGGAGGTTCTTAGAAAAATACCCAATAACACAAGAGTTGTGATAAAATTACGAAAGTTGGGGCTTGCTGGGGCTCAGTAGTCCCCTCCCTGGACCTGGTAATCCCTTCCACAGGGATATCCACTTGCCCTCCTCCTGGAGGCACTGCGGAGTTGAAGAGGAATTTCCATGCCACCTCCAGTTGGTGCCATAGGAGAACCCAGTTGTTCTCTCTACTCTGGGTTCTAGTTAGGTGACCGTACAACAGGTAGAGAAAGTCCACTTACATGCCTTGCTTCATCTCCCTGGGCTTGTCTCTCTACGTCTTTCCTACTGTCCTTTCCTGGATTTGCTGTCACTGTCTCTCTCTTTCTAGGTCTCCTCCTTGGCCCACTAGGGTTGGTGACCCCCTCCCAGGTTCTCTCGCAAAGCCTGGTCTCTGTGGGTCTCAGCTGGTTTGTCAGTCAGCCTTTTGCAGTTTTTTCTAGCTTGGCTTCAGCCTCTAGACAGCCTTTTCCTGCTCCTGTCTCCACCCATGACTGTCCCCATACTGTCAACCCCAGATTGTTTCTTATGCAGTTCTAGTTGGTCACCTGACCCACTTCCTCCCCCCCAGCCACATGACCTTCCCAATCCCTGAGGTAGTGATGCCTGCTTTTAAAGAGGCTACTTGACTCCGGTACAGTGGACATTAGGAGCGCGTTGGCAAATTATGACCTTTTTCTTGTGAGAAAAATTGACAAAAACAATATTAACTTTTCTTTGTAAACCCCCAAACTGATTTTTTTTACATAAACCTGAAAATGTTGACAAAAGCAGGGGGGGGGGGGGAAATCCACATAGTCAAAAAGGCATTTTCTTTCCAAAAAATGTTTAGACAGAACATTTTAAAGTTGTTTTAGTGGGCATGAAGCAAAACTGCAATGGTTCAGAACACAAGTAAGCATGGCTAGTATGAACTCAATAAACTGTTTATGCTTAAACCAGTGCAAGCTGGTCAATAAAAATAGGTTCAGTTTTCCAGGGCGCACACAGCCTCCGGGCCTGTTTCTGGTATCATTTATGCTGGTTTCATGTCCGTGTAACACTACTGACTTTAAGGGAGTTGCTTCTAACTTACAATAGTGCAAGTGAGATCAGATCAGGGCCTAAGTGTGTCATTGCTGTCCAGATGGAACATCCATGGAGCTGTGATGTGACACATTGTCATGATGAAACCGACTACTGAATGCAAATTTAAAGAGAGAAATTTTTAAATAGGCCTTAAACGTGATCATGTTTTCTAAAATGGGCTGGAAGATTCCCATTTTCCGTCTTCTAATGCCATAGAAGATGAAGATTTTGCGTCCAATAGTTTTCACTCTTACTTTGGGAACATATTACAAATCACTTGTTGGTATCTTCCATTCTGTTCCAGTTAATTACTAATCATGATGTAAGTGCCTGATTTTTGTTTGCAACCATGCAGAATCTTTTCTTGTTGCTGTCAATGAAAGCTGGCTTTCTATAGCAGTCTCTGTCTCTACTTATTGCTCCTCTTTGGTTTTAATTCAGTCTTGCAAACTCTGTATGAAAGGAGGAGCCTTAAAGAACAAAGGATTGAGATAGTGACATTACAATGTTTTAATAAACTATCAACTTGTTTCCTTTGAATTTATCCAAAGTGAGTAAAGCCTCTTTCTTTAAAGAGGGAGTCTTCCCTCAACCATAGGCATGCTGAGAGCAAAGAGAAAGAAGATGAGGACGTGGTGATTTGTGTAATCTCACAATTTATGAATTCTAGTTGATCTGATGAAATTGCTGTATCATTGAATCCCTCAGTGTATATGGAGTCAGCCATATGGTGTCGGACTGTGTCACATATCCCCTGGATCAAGGACAATGGAGAGTTGTTAAACCTTGATGAGATGGTCACATAGGTAAATCCAATTTTCTCCAACCTCACTGCGTGGGAACTAGGGTTTGGAACGGTGGAATTTTCCCACAAGCAGAACAAAATATGTAGTGTGGGAAGAACTAGGTTTAGTATATCTAAATATAAGGTCAGTGCTCTTGGGCTCCTGCTGCAGGGCTAAATATAGCAGTGTAGCCATTCAGGCTTGGGCTAGAGCCTGGGCTCTAAAACCTGATGAGGGAAGTCAGTTGACCCAGGCTCTGAGACGTGCTACAGTGGTGGGGTCTTTTGCTGTGTAGAAGTACCCCGAGCCAACTTGGGCGGAGAGACTCGCAGAGACAAGGAAGCTTGGGCAGGAGCAGAGGGGCATGCTTTCATGGCAGAGGGGTCCTCCTGAACTGCAGGACCATCTGAGGAAGAGAGAACCTGACTGCAGCAGAGAGAGGCTCCATGATTGAGAGAAGAAGCCATGTGCAGGAGGAGGGATCCTGGATTCCTTAGAGGACTCTGACCTAAAACCAAAGAATGCTCAAGCGGTGAGGAAACTGAGACAGGGAAATGCATACAGCTGTACTATTTTGTCTTGGTTTGTCTATTTCTTGCACTAGCTAAAGTAAAGAGCAATTGGATTTTGGAAGCCTTACAAAGCATATGTGTCTGTCTGCTTCCACTACCATGTGTCCTGGAAGAGATGGAGTGTAAATGCAGAGTACCCACAAGGTTGGAACTCGAGGAAATGGTGTGCTTACACTATTGGGGTATCGGAGGGTCAGCAGTGGTCCTGGAGACCTAAGGCAACTGGGTTGCAAGGTCCCGTTTCTTTGAAGAGGTAATAGACAGAGAGTCTGGTCCTCGAAATCATGCCAGAGAGACCAAGAAAAGATACAGTGCTATAGCCTACTCAGTCAAAGGGAAGCTTAGGAGCACCCAGCAGCCTGGTGAATGTTCAGCTGGGGGAACTCTATCAGAGCTGTGACAGGGCACTTAGAGTAGTGTGGGAGGAACAAGGTTTAGTATATCTAAATATAAGGTGCTCAAGGAACATTTTTGATTAATAGCTGCATTTATAAGATTGGTCTAAAGCAAACCAGAACAATCAGACGGGGCTGCGGAGGTCCAGGAATGGTTGCTGTGTCTGGAGCGGCTAACTCAGGAGAAATGCAACTATATGCCCTCTCACCTAGTGGTGACGGCTACTGATTTCAGTTATTGTCTTTTTTCTAGTCAATGGCTCTGTGCTCACGTCCCTGCCCAGAGATGCATGTGAAGAGAGAACAGGAATGGAGTGATGCCTCTCCTAGTGAAGGTCCTTCAGTCCTCAGTGTTCTGGTTTTGTAACAGTCTTTTCCCCTTCACTAGCAGTTGACCTTCCTCCAGATACTCTGGCCATTGTTGCTTTCAAAGTTCAGAAGGCTCCAGATAAGATGGGCTGGATAGAGAGCCCCTAAAGTTAAAATATTAAGTGGTTAACCCCTTTGTTATGTGCAGTCCTTCATATGCAAAATCCAATGGTTTAGGGACTGTTTCACATGTTGGCCCCTGGAGTATTTAATTTTTGGGATACAGTGTTCCCGGTGTTTTTCATGGCACCTGTGTCTGTACACGTCTTGGAACATGTACTCTGAGTTAAATAAATGGTTAAGTATTATTAATACATCAGAGCCACGTTTTGAGCCTACGGAATGGAACAGAATGAGTTTCACACCGGTTGTGGGTTTTGTGGGTACAAGTGTTCACAGAATTGCACTTCCATTTAAATATATTTTTTATAGCGATTCAGCACTTTAACTATATGGCAGCCATATGGCAAATCATTCCCAGCCATGAAAGAAAATATGTGTTGGGACATAAATGTTGGGAGGTTAACGGTGAAAAATTCAAACGCATAGCTCTTGTAACAGTTGCCACTGGAGATACTGTTAAATCTCTCAGATCATTTGGCTTCATTTTCTACGCTGTGTGCGAAGCATAATATAATACCTATTACCTTGTGCCTCTACTCAACATGTGGCCTCACAAAGGCCTTGCCCCAATGACCGAACAATCTAACATTGACAGATACAAACAAGGATTAGGTGCAAGGGAGGGTATGATGTTTTACATGTAGGAAATGGATATAATTTCATCTATATACGTGCCCCACTCATTGCTGTTTTCAGTGTGGACTGTGATTTGTTGGTTAGAGCAGTGGTCTCCAAAGTGGGGTGCGCGCACCCTAGGGGGTGAGCAAGAGGATCCTTCGGGGTGCACGGCAGGAGGAGCGTCGC